GAATGACCTCTTCATCTACAGAGTGCTATACAGTAGAAGAATAACTTATTCCTTTTTCTTATCCTATGACTAATGCTATAAAAGCAACAAATAGGCTGGCATGAGGACTCATGCCTGTAATCCCAGCACTTTGGGAGGCTGAGGTAGGAGAATCACTTGTGGCCAGGGATTAGACACTAGCCTGGGCAATGTAGTGAAACTCCCATCTCTACAAAAAAATATAAGAAACTAGCTGGGAGCAGTGGCATATGCTTATAGTCCTAGCTATTCAAGAGGGTAAGTTGGGAGGAATGTTTGAGTCCAGGAGTTAGAGGCTACAGCGAGCTGTAATTGCTTCACTGCACTCCAGAGTGGGCAACAAAGCAAGACCCTGTCTTGGAAAAAAAAAAAAAAGGAACATATAATATGAGCTACCTGGAAGAGGCAAATTCATAGAGACAAAGAGTAGAAGGGGGTGGCCTGGGACTGAAAGGAGAGGGAAATGGAGCATTACTGCTTACTGGGGATAGAGCTTCTGCTTGAGTGATGAAAACATTCTGGAAACAGTCATGAATCTGATTAATGCCACTGCACTGTACACTTAAAGTAGTTAAAATGGTAAATTTTATGTTATGTTTATGTTTACCACAATAAAAAAAAAAGAATTATATAAGCATTTGATTTATTGCTGAATTTGCCAACAATCTTGGCTTTATTTTTGAACTTATTCTTGGCCTGTTTCTTTACCCATTTCCTAAACGGGCTGTCCCACACTTGTTCCCCTTATGTCTCCAAAACCGTGACTCTGCCTTCTCCACCTCGGCAGATGAGCTTGTTAATTTTAAGGAAAAAACTGGAAGCCGCAAAATATAAATGGCTCAACTTCCTTCGCTCTGGTTCAACTTACCCCAGTCTCCATCTGTTCTTCCCTGAATGCCTCATGCATACATGATCCTAACCCTGCACACACCCTTGGAATGGTTCTTTTCTTTAACCCCTTGTCATCCTTGTGATTTCTGCCTCTCTCCCACTCCTGCTTATAAACACCCTCCTGTTTTCCATCCTCTAACAACTTCTGCCGTGGCTTCTCCCGCAGCTATGGCCTTACCTCCCTTCCTTCACCAATCAGCTTCCTGAACCATCTTTGCTTCCTCCCCTTCCATTAGCTCCTCTGCCCTCTGCCATATGGATTCCTCCAGTCAGCACTTTGTGGATCTATCTTGTTCCCTGCAACAGTGCCAATGACTTGGTCATTTCCAGATCCTGCAGCTGGAAATGGTCTTCCCCCTCAACCAGAGACCTTCTTCCTTTTGTGCCAGAGACCTTTCTCCACACCAAATATAATTCTGTACTATAAATTGTATTTTAATTCAATTTCTTGGTCTTCTTCCTCGACACTGCACAGAACACTGTCGACTTCTTTCTTCTCTCCTGCTCTCCTTCCCTCTCAGCTCACTCTTCAGCTTATCCTGTTGGTTTCACTTCTTTACCTAAATATTTTGGAATACATTTTGACTTTCCTTCCTTTTTCTTTAACCAACCTTTCTGGCCAATCTCATCCTTTTTGATGGCTCCTATGATCCTCTACCTAGTGGTAACCTCAAAAAGAATATCTTTCTTGAACTATACATTCACTTTCTTCATTCCCCTGTATTCAACTCCATATTGGACTTTTCCAAGTGATGTTCCGCCAGCCCCTCAAACACAACTGAAACGAACATGAATTCTTCCTTTCCCAGTGTCTGTGCCTCTCCTCTCTGTCCTGTCTTGATCAATGGAATTACCACCTACTGAGTCTTCCAAGCTAGAAATATTGGAACCAGCTGTGAATTCTCCTTCCTCTTCATCTCCTCCATCCATCTATGCAACAAGTCCCATGGATTTTTCTGGTTATTTTTGTTGCATTTCATCACTGCTCTTCAGTCTTTTAGTGCTGGAACTTCAGACATATTCTCTTAATAATTTCATGATCGCAACAGATGTTTAATTACATATCCCCTTGCTCTTTCACGCTGCGTTTTCCTCCCCCACATGGGCCACGTGGGCTGTCTTTTAAAAAAATCTCTTCCTTGCTTTGAAACATGAAGCAGATTATCTTTGCCTAAACTATAAAGTCCAGACTCATGACCCATACAACCTCTTTATCACAGACAAACTTCAAAATTTTAAGGGGATTCAATTGCGGCCAAAGATATATGTTAAACAAGGCATTTTAAAAAGATGTGTTGGTTTCTTAAAATGTATTCTTCTGAATAGCCTTGAAATTGTTTAAAAGAACCCTAGGGAAAACAATCTTCCCTTACACACTAGAAAAGATGTAAACAGACATACAGCACTATTTTTTTTTTTAAAAAGGCTTAGTAAACACAAAGAGGAGTTACATACAGAAACCCACAGCTGATTTAATTTGCAAAACCACAGCGTTAGCTCAACTAAAGTAAAGATGACATAGATAAAATGCAACCAGAAAACTGAGATAAAAGATACAGGATAAATAACTTAAGCTGATGGTTTAGCAAGCAAACATCACGGGGTAACATGAAGATCGGAGAAGTGGCTCTGGTCCAGGAAACTCAGTCCATAGGGTCCCTAGGAGCAGCAGGTTTTAGGAGAGTCATGGAGAGGCATGACAATCGTCATCTATTCTCGCACTTGTGAGGACGTGGTCACCATGATGCAGGAAGAGAATTGAGATTTTAAAGTTGAAGTTGAGGGATCTAATTTCTTATTTTACTATTTTTATCTCTATGTTAGAAAGATTTGGGGAAAATTCTCAGAGACAGTCTTTAGCCTTAGGGTATAAGAGAAGGGGGGCGATGAGAAACTTCATTCAGAACTGAACTAGGGCTATTGATTCTCTGGTTCTCATTTAGAGAGTCCCAAGTGTATGGTCACGCGCAGCGAGGCATGTCCCTCCAGCGGTGACGTGCACAGCAGTTAAAAGCAGGGCAGGAGGTGAGAGCTTGGCCCTGGACTGTATGAGTGGGAATTAATTAGGGAATTCTCGAGGTTCTCTCTACTCATTGGCCTATCTGCTAACATTTCAGCAATAAGCAATAAAAAGTTAAGGCTTAAAAAGTTATATATCCTCACTATGAATATAAATGATCACAGTCAAATACCTTATACTAGGCTTACTAGGAAGAAATATTCATCAGTCACCAACTAAATGCCGGGAAAAGAACTGGTAAAGGAACTTCTGGGTAATAAAAGAGCCCTGATTGCAGTCCTTGAGGACTGGGGCAGGTAAGAGCTGTGCATTGTTTGGGCCAGGGAAGGAGGGACATGACTTTTTCTAGATCATCTAGTGACTCCTTTGTATCTTTTTTTTGAGACAGAGTCTCGATCTGCCACCCAGGCTGGAGTGCAGTGGTACAGTTTCAGCTCACTGCAATTTCCACCTCCTGGGTTCAAGCGATTCTCCTGCCTCAGCCTCCTAAGTAGCTGGGACTACAGGCATCCACCACCACACCTGGCTAATTTTTGTATTTTTAGTAGAGACGGGATTTGGCCGAGTTGGCCACGAGGGTCTCGAACTCCTAACCTCAGGTGATCTGCCTGCCTCGGCCTCCCAAAGTGCTGAGATTACAGGTGTGAGCCACCGCGCCTGGCCTGTATCTTTTTTGTTAGCCATGATTTTGTGGCAGCAAATACAATATCAGATATTTTTCTTCACTCTCCATAAAAAAAGGAAACATTTAATTATCTAAAAACAGGCCAGATTCTAGAAATTCTCTTTACTTCTTCACTGTCTTTGTTTTATTGTTCTTTGAGTTTTGTGTTTGTTTGTTTTTATTGATACATCAAATTTTGCATATTTATGGGGCACATGTAGTATTTTGTTACATGCACAGAATGTGTAGTGGTCACGTCATTGCATTTGAGGTGCCTGACTTTACCTTATTTGTGTATTATTTACTTATTGTCTTTCTACTCCAAAAAAAGTAGGTGTAGGCTTGATGAGGGTCAGTACCTTTTCCCTCTCTTCTCCCCCTGTGTTTTAAACACCCAGAAAAAGGCGTGACAAGTTAGATGTTTGATCGATCAACATTTAGTGACCGAATAAAACCCAGCTTTCCCCTTCTCCTTGAAAATATCCATTTTCTGTTTGTTACTGCCTAAGCCACGCTAATGGGTGAAGGGAATCTCAGCAGTGCTTGCATTTTTAAGAGGATCTGTGTCCCTTAAGATCCGAGCTGGCAGCATTTCAGGTGCTGGATAGAATAAGGTGTAGGGAGAACTTTCTGGAGTATTTTGAGATTAGGTGGGGAGCAGCATTCTAAAGGCAGTCATCCTTGATTTGTTGGGAAGCCTACTCCAAGGAGAAAGAAATTCATCTGTGCTGTTTTTGGTTTTCACGGCTTCTTCTTCCCCTCCACGACTGAATCTAAAAACCTGCAAACACTGGCTGAGAGGCGGTGTATCACGGACCAATTAGGACAAAATGAACCCGTAGAAAGTGTGGAGACTTTGTCTCCGCCCCTAGGATAGTGTTTCACAGATATGCTGCACCTGGTGGCTACTCTAATTTTCCTTGTTATTCATTTTCAGGGCTAATGCTTACATACTCAATGAATTGTTCAGCCTCTGAGCATTGTTCGGCCTCTGAAAATGTGTCTATTTGGTCAAATATAAATAATCCATTTTATTTTCTATTTTAGAAACCAAGTCAAAACAAAGTATAGGTTTCTTGAAATTTTAAAAATTATTCTTTTGAGGTTGGGCACGGTGGCTCACGCCTGTAATCCCAGCACTCTGGGAGGCCATGACAGGCAGATTGCTTGAGTCCAAGGGTTTGAGGCTAGTCTGGGCAACAAAGCAAAACCGTGTCTCTACTAAAAATACAAAAAGTTAGCCGGGCATGGTGGTGTGCACGTGTAATCCTAGCTACTCAGGAGGCTGAGGTGGGAGGATCACCTGAGCCTGGGAGGTGCAGTCTGCAGTGAGCTGAGATTGTGCTGCACTCCAGCCTGGACAACCAGAGTAAGACCCTGTTGTCTCAAAAAAAAAAAAAAAAAAAAAGGAAAAGGAAAAAAGAAATGTTTTCTTGAATAAGGGTATTTTTTTGAACTTTTTGGAATCGTGTGCTTCAGGACCCTGTCAAATATTACTAAACAATACGCATCGAAACAATTAGAAATTTGACGTGAACCTACAACTGATTCACATACACAGAAACACACCGACTCAAAAGCCAATTAAAAAGTTACAAAGGCCTGTGCTGAAAAATAATTTATGTAGATCTCACAGTATGACAGAATAGATTACTTTTTTAAATTCTCAGAACAGCTCCATAAAGTTGAAGTTCAAACCTCCAAGTTATGACTCAAGAATGTTAATCTGGCCACCATTCTTGCTGGTTTTTAATTAAACAAACTTTCTTCTTAACAGCTCTTTGCAAGTGACGGTCGTCAGTACATGTGTGTGTGGGTATGTGCATGTATGTTGATATGATAGAACTTGCCGTTTTTAATGTGTTTAGCATGTTATTAAATATAGCATGAAAAGACATGAAAGAGTTGAGGAAAGCAGGAAGAAGGGAGGGAAAGTTCAAGGAAAAAGTAAAGGGAGTTGAAGAATTGAGGTGAATGAAAGTCTGAAAAAGCAGATTAGGATTCTAAAATAAGCTTTTAAGGTTTGCTTAAACTCTAGTTTTAAATTTACAACATTGTCAGTTTGAAATAATGCTGGTAGGAAGGAAATACATTGAGCCACGGACCTGGCATCTGGAGATACTGGAAAGGAAAGAGGGAGGGATTGAGGTGGACGCTCACGGGTAAGGAGGAACAAAGGAGAAGCCCACTCAGGCTTGTCTATGAACTCATCCGTGTGGTTCTCCTGCAGGGGAGCCTCATAAATGCCCCGGTCAGTGCTGGACCCCAAAGAAAACCACTGCGGCCATCTCCTGTTTCCCTCACAAGATTTCCCTGAAAAGACAACTACTTTTGGAATTCCATGTGGTTTTTCAGCCTTTTCCAAATCTCTCTAAACACCAGGAGTATTCAATGCTTGAGCAGAGGGACCCACACTCCAGGACCCAGCAGAGAATGCCTGGAGAGGAACCCAGTGATGCCGACTAGGTCTAAGCAGAGCTCCCAGCTTGATGACGATGCTCAACCAGAGTAAGTGTTCTCTCCATTACTAAAATAAGTAATATATTGAACAGCAAAACAAGGAAATAGCCCCAAACAGTAATTGAGCTATAAAGAGAGAAGGAAGTCTCAAAACCCACTTCTCAGAATTAATTTCAATGTCAGGCAGTATTTTTAAACAGAAGTCAGTAGATAAGGTATATTCCCAAAATCAGGCTTTGCTACGTGGAGTATTAAGAACACAGACCGGCCGGGCGCGGTGGCTCAAGCCTGTAATCCCAGCACTTTGGGAGGCCGAGACGGGCGGATCACGAGGTCAGGAGATCGAGACCATCCTGGCTAACACGGTGAAACCCCGTCTCTACTAAAAACTACAAAAAACTAGCCGGGCGCGGTGGCGGGCGCCTGTAGTCCCAGCTACTCGGGAGGCTGAGGCAGGAGAATGGCGTGAACCCGGGAGGCGGAGCTTGCAGTGAGCTGAGATCCGGCCACTGCACTCCAGCCTGGGCGGCAGAGCGAGACTCCGTCTCAAAAAAAAAAAAAAAAAGAACACAGACCACGGCATCAAACTGCTTGAGTTCAAATTCCAGCTCTGCTGTATGGTAGCTCTGTGGCTTTAAACGAGCTATTTAACCTCAGTTTTCTTGTCTGAAAAATGAGGATCATAATAGGATTAAATGGGTTAATGGATGCAAAGTGATTAGAACAGTTACTAGCAGACAGAAAAAGTTCAATCTATGTTAGCTGCAATTATTACATACTCAGAGTCAAAAGAACACTCATCATGTTTTCTTCCAAGACTTAGCACTAAAATATTTTCTGTAATGATTACTTTTTAGTTATTTTGTTGAAAAAAGGCTACGAGTTCTTTCAAGGTGGACTTCCTTGGTTGGTTCTCAGCTGCCACCTCCCCTCCCCCAATAAAACAATAGCCCCTGTCCCTTGTCAACTAGATCCCAGTACACACAGTTTCACTTTAAAGGCATGCAATCACTTTGGCTCAAGAGTGAAGATATTCAGTCGAAAGTGAAGTGACAGCTGGGATTTCAGAGCGAGAGTCCCACAGTTCCAAGAGTCCCGGAAGCAGCAACCTCACTTTGCCCAGTGTCCCTCCTCCTCTTCTCGGTGACAGGGAGATCTACTGCATGTCTGGAGGTGCATGGGTGGGATTCTGGGTGCCCTGCCTTCTGAGTCCAGGTCAGGGATGTCCCCAGGGGCACAGGTCTCCATGGCCCATCCTGATGTTGGGCCATCTCTCCTACCTTGTCACTGCCTCTTCCCTATAAGCCCCTCATCATGACACATGCCTCGATTTATCTTACATCGAATCAGATTTTCTGCTTTACTTTTTATGCTTGTTCACGTCTCTCGTCTACCTAGAGCGCTCTCAGCCTCCACTTGGCAGCCTAAGCCCACCGCTTTGTTCCTCCTCTTCCTGCCTCCAACTCTCCATGGGATCACACCACCTTCTTCCTGTATGGGGTTTTCTGGTCTTTTCCCTCCGACACTCTTCCACTCTGTCATGTGCCTATACTGAGTTGACGTTCCATCAAAATTTACTGAGTACTTGCTACGTGTGGGACTCTCTGCTCAAGGCGAGGGCTAGGGGCTAGACAGACAAAGAGATGCAGAGCCTGCCCTCAGGAGCTCACAGTGCAGTTGGGGAGGGAGGAAGGGCGTGTGAGAGCTGCTGAGCTGTCCATGTGCACAGGATGCCAGGGCATGCAGAGGAGAGACACCTTGACCCAGCCTGTGGGGGCCCTCGCAGAGGAGGTGATGTCTCAAGGGTTAGCCAAGTGACGATTGGAGCGTGAGAAGTGCACCCGGGGCCTGGGATGAGGTGCAGAGCTGTAAAATGCCAGGGGCTCCTGGGGAGCTACGAGGTGCTCAAGGACTCAAGGGAGGCCTGAGTCTAACAGGCAGGGGACAGGCCGGGAAGAACTCACGGGCCCTGCGAAGGTCCGGGATACTATTTTGCAGGTGATGTGGAGTAACCAAAGAGCTTTGCAGTGGAGTGAGCAATCATTTTTGTTGCAGCAAGATCCTCTATCAGCGGTGTGAAGAGCAAGACTAGAGGCTCAGTCTCGGAAAATAAGCGAGGTCCTCTGTAGGAAATATTATGGTATAAATGGCTGCAATACTATTGCTCGATGGTATTTTCAAAGGCAGCTGCTGCAGCCTATCCCTTCCCCTCCCACCTGTCCTTCTGTGAGGCCACTGTGCTGCTCGCTCAGGAGTGCTCTCTGCTGCCCCTCCTTGATCTTGCCTGGCCTATGACCTGTTTTTCACCCAAAGACCAAGTCAGCAGGAACTTCCCAGTTTCAGACCCCATATGGAGAAATAACAGGTGGGGGGATCTCAACCTCCTAGCTGCATCCACCCAGGGACCATATAAGGGAGTGACCCCATATATATATAAGGGAGTGACCCCATCTCAGATCTGACTGCAACCTTATGAGAGGACCCTAGGGATGCCATGAAGACCAAAACCGCCAAGCCAGAGCTGACCCAAATCCCTAGCCCACAGAATCAAGAGCAAATACAATGGTGCTGCTTTTTAAGCCACTAAGTTTGGGAGCAGTTTGTTCCATAGCAATTGATATCTTCAAAGCAATGCTCTGGGTCAAATAAACACATGTCAAATAAAGAATAAACTCCCCGCTGACAATTTCAGGACAATAGCACGGGTCCACTGTCAATATATACCAACTTGCACTTCATCCTTAATTACTTACTACCAAATCCCATTTCAAGCCTTTGTCACACTTAACTGATTAGGGCTTAAGCTTTTGAAAAAGGAGTTTTCAGAAAATGTAATCCTCTGATTCTATCTTGCAAAAGACTAAGAAAATGTGGCATGTGGATTAAAATTCCCTGGAATTTCGTTTGAATTTTCCTATGGGTAGTGTTTAGATGCACATTCAAGCAAATGTATGTTTCACTTTTTGAAACTGCAGAATGTTTGATGCTTCTTTATAATGTGCCTTCTCAGCAGCATGGCTGGGTGTCTTGAGATAGCACAGTACTTGAATAAATAGTGTGATCTCTCTTTATGTTTACATATTTAGACCCAGAAGTCTAGTCTATTTTTCCATGAGAAAATATCTGTAACATTTTCCTAGAGAAAATTGATTTTATTTTATTTCAGTAGACACATATGCTCTCTGTTCTGAATACTTTAGGCTGTTTCTCTCAAGAGAAGGGGTTTGCTTGCTGGTTTTCTTCTCTATAAAAATAACAGAATTCACACATGATGTGATGTGTTAACATTTCCCTCTGCCAGCTCCAGCTATGGGAAATTGCTAATGGTTGAGTTTTACTTTATTAATTTCTAAAAGGAAGTGCTAATATATGCTTAGCAATGTTAGCCTTTTTTGGCGAAAGAAATTGCATTTATTTTATTTGAAAAAGAAACAAAAATCCCTTCCCTCTTGTTGTAATACTTTGTTCTCCTAAAGCACCTTTAGCTGCAGATCTCAAGTGTACTATAAATATTAACAAATCTCCTTGTCCTGGAACTAGGAAAGAATCCCAGGAGGAAAGTCCTTCTTTTCATTACCATGGCAAATACTTCAGCTGCCTCTGCTTCAGAACTCGGAATTATGTAAGTTACTTCCCACTGAATTACGTTCATCAAAAGTAATTGAAAAACCACAATTACTTTTGCACCAAACTAATATTTACAAAGTAGAGTAATTCATGTTCTTCCTATACGAGAGTTATTTATGTCTACTGCTCATATTACCCCTCTAAGTATGTCCCCAGTAAAATGTATGCCAATTTATGTTTATTGAACGACTAGTGCAGATGAATTAGAGTTTCCATTTTCAGAGGAGAGATTTCCTCTATTATTCATCACTATCTTATATTCCAGAAACACAGCCCACTGAGGAAATCCATTTGACCTTTTTAGAGAAACTTGGTTATCATAACGTTCCTTGTGTTACCATCCCCACTAACACGGTAGAACGAATCATGTTTTGCTGTTGCTATGGCATTACATTTTAATTCCTCCTGTCCATAGCAAAGCTAATTGTAGCTGAATGACTCCCATGTTTGTGTGACTGCACTTCAGTTTATTGGTGTAGAGTTATACGTGCCGCCAGTGGTTTCATCCTCTGACCTACACTGGATGTTCTGCAGTGGTTATGACAGGACACACCAACTACAGCCCTAGGAGCTTGAAATGCATCCACTTCTTTCCCACCCCAGCTGTCCAGGTGAAATCCTGGTCTGGCTGGAATGGGTAGATGCCAAAAGGACCTCCCAAAAATAGCTACAAAGTATTCGAATCAGGAGGAATCCCAGACCTGCCCCTAATCCATTCAACCTTGTCTCCCAATTCCCACTTCTGGGACTTTTCAGTCCGACTTCACTCTTGGGTAGGTCTGGAAGGTGAGCGTGACCCTGGCAGAGCGGGACTAGGTAGGGTGAATGATGCAATGAGATTCAGTGGCCTCTCTCCAGTCTCTTCTCCTACAAGGGACAACCCAATGGGTTCCCAATATCCTTGTGTGCCAGCCACCACCTGTCCTTGATTACTGCAAGGAAACTGAAGAGCAGAGAGACAGAGAGAGCTCAGGAGGGGAGGAATACAGCTGATGACCAAGCAGATGACACCGGCCAGGAAGACGTCAGTGTGCCCAAGGGTTTCTATGGAGATGGCCCGGAACACTTCTCAGTCAGATTCCCCTAAAACTCACCTTTAGATCTAGACCCAAATTGGAGTGCTTAGGGCCCTCAATGTTAATGATTAGGGCCTAAAATATGGTATTAATGTTTGGAAACCTTCATATTGGTGACTGGAGGGAAATTAAATATACTCCCTGGCTATAGGAGGCCTCATGAACCTCCTCAATCCAAGATTCTGTCTGAGTTCTGTGCTGAGAGTTAAAGACAGAAAGAGAAGACTTGGTACATGCTCTCAGGCTGACTCAGGAGACAATCGTTGAATTAAAATGTCATTAGGGAGCTCCAGTAATAAGGATAGAAGCCTCAGGTCCCCAGAGACACAGGAAGCAGAGAGAAAGTCCATACATCACAGGTGACTTGGAAAAGGTCTAATAGAATAGGACACTTAGAAACATGCCAATTACATAGTAGGGGCAAATAGTGTTTCATGAACAGGACATAGGGACTCTGTTTGAGAAGAGACCTCCATGAACAAAGACACGGATACGCTTGGCCCTAAAGAGCCCATTCCCTTCTCATTTCTAAAAGGATAGCAGAACACAATGGATAGAGATGCAATTCAGGGCCAGAATGCACAAGGTACCAAGTCTTGCATAGGAAGACGTGTCATCCAAATTCTGCAGACAAAGTTGAGCGTAGCTCTCTTCTCTGCCCTTACCTGACCCTGTGCTTACATTCCCCAGGAGGGAAATATCTCAGTGGAGTCCCAGTGTTTTCCCTCTGTGACATCCCTGAGGTCACCGAGGCCTTGTGGGATACAAGCTGGAAACCTCAGCACTGGCTTTAACACTGTTTTAGCCGGGGTTTAGCTGTTGTAGAAACCCATAGATGTGAGTGCCCATTTTATTTTATTGTTGCTGGGATTTATTTCTAATCTTCTTTAAAAGATTATGCTTTTCTTTGGTTTCATAATGTTGGTTTATTCTACTTTTAAGTGAGTCCCCTAAATAGTTTACTACTCTTTCCTTTTAAGATAAACATTCTTTTTTAGTGAACGCTTTCACTTACTTTGTTTTGGGCATACCTCTATCATCCTAATTCTTGAATTGGTTCTTTTACCTTTCTTACTCGTATCTATTTTAGTACATTTAAAAGTGATTATAGGCCGTGCGTGGTGGCTCATGCCTGTAATCTCAGCGCTTTGGTGGTGGCACGGCGGGTGGGAGGATCATTTGAGGTCAGGAGTTGGAGACCAGCCTGGCCAACATGATGAAAACATGTCTCTACTAAAAATACAAAAGTTAGCCAGGCATGGTGGTGTGAGCCTGTACTCTCAGCTACTCAGGTGAGGCAGCAGAATCGCTTGAGCCCGGGAGGCAGAGGTTGCAGTGAGCTGTGATCACGCCACTGCATTCCAGCTTGGATGACAGAGCAAGACGCTGTCTCCAAAAAAGAAAAAACAAAACAAAACCAAAACAAAATAAAAAATCCCCCAAAAACTAACCAAAAAAAATTATGATTTTGTTCTGAAGAATCCTTAAAATATTTTTTCATTTAATTTAAACAAAATTTTATCTCTTTTATCCTTTACTATTTTTTCTTTATTAAAATCACTTATGAATTTTTGGTATGTCTACATTTTATGTTTACCTATTGCCTCATTCTTTTGCTTATAGAATATTTTTGAATATTTTAATATTATCTTTTATTTCCCGATCACGCTTAGCTTAATCTTTTTTTAATTATTGACATTACAATGGTCCATAAAGCAGGATGCCAAGAGGATGATAAGGGGAAAAAAAAAAATCAAACCACATACAAGGGGAGATGGAGTCTTTTTCTTGCAGCAAGTCACCTCCTGGAATTCTAAACATTTCCCACCCCCTTCAGCTCTGATTTCTGGTAGAATTTGTCTAGATAACCCCAGAGGCCCAGAGGCAAAACCTTCCGAGACAATAGTAATTCTGTTGTGCAGACATTTAAGTCACTAGATTGGGATGCTTTTCCTCTAGCACTCAGCACACCGTCCCTTGGGCATTACAGACTCTAAAAGGTATGACTCCTTTATTTATTCCACTAATATTTACTGAGCACCTACTATGTGTCAGATACAATGCTGAATGCTAGAAGTGCAACAAAAAGAGTAAGAGAGAGTGTGGATCCTGTCCTCAGGGAGTGTACAGTGTGGAAGAAAGCCAAGTGCTGACGTGGGGGATCAGGAAGAGCTTTCCAGAGGACAAGAGACATCTTGGGAGCTGATGAGGTACAGGAAGTAGCTCAGAGATTGAGCAGACGCTCACGAGACCAGGGGATGCAGGGACCTCCGAGGAGCTTAAAGAGGTTCAGACTTGGAGGAACCTGATGTGAGGGCTGGAGAGGAAAGGAGTAGAACTTTCACATCCACATCAGAAAGCCTGGGCTTTATCCCGGGAGCACTGGGTAGCCTTTGGAGAACTTAGAGCAGGGAGCGGCACGCGGGGTTCCAGAAGGCAGCACACGGTAACCACGGCCAGGGAAGAGGTTCCACATCAACCCCGAAGAGAAACGGTGGTGGCTGTAATTAGAGCAGAGGTGGCGGGAGTGTGACAGGCTGGAGGGAACACAGAGGAATCAGGGTGAGCGAATAAAATCGGTTTGGGGCAAGTTATGGAAATAGGGGAGATAGAGTCAAGGAATGACACACAGATTTCAGGTCGTGCAGCAGGTGATGTCTATGCCAGTTGCAGAAAAGAGCAGGAGGGGAAAATATGTTGAAAGAGGAAAGGGAAGGCGGTGCATCCAGTTTTGCGGCATGAGGCATTAGATGTGCCCAGGAACTATCTGGGGAAGAACGGCAAGGGCAGTCATGGCTGCGTCAGGGCCAGCGAGGAGATAGGTATGGAGGGCGATGAGGGATGAGGATGCTCACAGGGTGGGAAAATTGAGGAACATCAGTCATCCAGGTTGATAAAGAAGAGGAGCTTGCGAAGGAGAAGAGAGGAGGGAAGCAAACATGGGCAGGGGGGTCATGGGAGACACAGGGGGGCAAGCACCCAGGATGCATGTGTGCTCACAGCACATCTGGCTGCAGGAAGTCAGGTAAGAGGGGGGTAGAGCTCCACGGGAACCGGCCATGAGGAGGGTGCGGGTGATCGTTTCATGGGGAGAGGGCGGGGGATCATTTCCGAGGGGCTCAAGAGGCAAGGCCAGGCATCTACAGTTCAAGACATGTGGGGTGAGGAAGCAGAGGCAGCAAGTGTAGACAATAATTTGAGGAGTTTGATTGTGAAGAGGAGAGTGACAAGGAAGTAGCAGGAGGAATGTATAAAAGGATATATAATTCTTTTTTTTTTTCACAGAAGGAAGGGATTTAAGCTCACTTAATACAGTACAGGGAGAATGGGGCCAGAAATGAGGGAGAGAAGGAAAACACAGGTGACAGGGAAGATAAGGGATTGAGATTCCGAAGAACAAGAAAGAAATGGATTCCGGGACAAGAATGGATTCACTCCCAGGGGAGGTGAGCCTCAGGCAGGAACTGAGGGGCTTTTTTTTTTTTTGGAGTCTCGCTCTGTCGCCCAGGCTGGAGTGCAGTGGCGCGATCTCAGCTCACTGCAAGCTCCGCCTCCCGGGTTCACTCCATTCTCCTGCCTCAGCCTCCTGAGTAGCTGGGACTACAGGCACCCGTCACCTCGCCCGGCTAATTTTTTGTATTTTTTAGTAGAGACGGGGTTTCACGGTGTTAGCCAGGATGGTCTCGATCTCCTGACCTCTTGATCCACCCGTCTCGGCCTCCCAAAGTGCTAGGATTACAGACTTGAGCCACCGCGCCCAGCTTTTTTTTTTTTTTTTCTGAGATAGACACTTGTTCCGTCACCCAGGCCGGAATGCAGTGGGTCAATCTTGGCTCACTGCAACCTCTGCCTCCTGGGTTCAAGCGGTTCTCCTGCCTCAGCCTCCTGAGTAGCTAGGATTACAGGTATGCGCCAGCACGCCTGGCTAATTTTTGTATTTTTGGTAGAGACAGGGTTTCACCATGTTGGCCAGGATGGTCTGAAACTCCTGGCCTCAAGTGATTCTGCCTCGGCCTCCCAAAGTGCTGGGATTACAGATGTGAGTCACTGCGCCTGGCTGGAACTGAGGGGTGTCTTTCTTTGTGAAAGAAAAGAAGGATGAGAGGGTGGATTCAGATAAAGTGAGGCGTGCATCCCTATGATCCCAGGGTGGGGGCAGTTCTCATTCGGGAAACTTGCACCTTCTCAGGGAAGCAGGAGGCAAGGCGGCTGCTGAACGCAAGGGGATGGCAGAGGCAGGAGCAGCTGAGGAGAAGCTGCCATGGAAAGCAAGATCATTGGCCAGGGAAATGTCTGGGAGCTGGGGAAGACAGAGATCCTAGACTAAGGGGGAAGTCACAGAGCTACGGCATCCTGAATTTGCAGAGTGGCATGTTTTCCAGGAGAACTCATCAGCCTACGTGTAAACGCTGGAAAAACAGACAGTTGGATTTAGCTGTGATGATCCCAGTGACCACAGAGGCGGCAAAGAAAGTGCATCATCTCACACATCACCAGGTGGTCCTTCCTCAGCAGCAAGGGAAACGCTTTAGCGGAGGGACGGTGGCCAAGTTTATATTTGTCAATGTCATGCTGAAAGATCTCTGGTCTGTATAATAAACGCTATTTCTTCCTAACCTGTCTTGTTCTTTATGAAACTGATGGGTATATTTCAAAGTTTATATCCTTCCTAACAAACCAGGGACATGGTTATTACATACTCCCCCTAAGAAAATATCTTCCCCTGATGGGTGGGGTGGCTCACCCCTGTAATCCTAGCACTTTGGGAGGCCAAGGCAGGCGGATCACTTGAGGCCAGGATTTCAAGTCCAGCCTGGCCAACATGGTGAAATCCTGTCTCTACTAAAAATACAAAAATTAACCAGGTGTGGTGGTGCATGCCTGTAGTCCTAGCTACCCTCGAGGCTGAGCCACAATCATTGCTCGAGCCTGGGAGGCGGAGGTTGCAGTGAGCCGAGATTGAGTCACAGCACTCCAACCTGGGCAACAGAACAAGATCCTGTCTCAAAAACAAACAAACAAACAGGAACCACATGGGGTCCTTCCCTAAACAGCCACTTAACTAACAAACTTTGGGAACACAGTCCCTGGAGGCATGGAAAGAATGCCACATCAGAAGCCAAGAGATCAAGGGTCAGCGCTAGTAATCTGATGTGTGACCCTTGATCAAGTTTCTTAACCTGCACACCTCAGCTGGCTTCTCTGTAAGCTGTGAGATCCACCCAACATATGGGGCTTTCCGAATGACTGATTACCGGGTTCCAGGCACAGGGCATGACTAACAACTGCCTTCCCATCGCTCCCTCTTCCTTCCGGCCCCTAAGCTCACCCGATTCTATAACTTAAAGGAATGGTATAGAAAACTAAATGCCATAGGTATGTACTTTACTTTTTGAATTTTAATTTTTATTATAAGTTCTGGGGTACGTGCGCAGGACGTGCAGTTTTGTTATATAGGTAAATGTGTGCCATGGTGGTTTGCTGCACCTATCAACCCATCACCTAGGTATTATTTTTCCTAATGCTCTCCCTCCCTCCAATCCCACCTCCTGACAGGCCTCAGTGGGTGTTGTTCCCCTCCCTGTGTCCATGTGCTCTCATTATTCAGCTCCCACTTATAAGTGAGAACACAAGGTGTCTGGTTTTCTGTTCCTGTGTTAGTTTGCTGAGGATAATGGCTTCCAGCTCTATCCATGTCCCTGTAAAGGACAGGATCTCATTCCTTTTTATGGCTGCATAGTATTCTACAGCGTGTATGTAGCACATTTTCTTTATCCAGACTATCATTGGTGGGCATTTGGGTTGATGCCACGTCTTTGCTATTGTGAAGAGTGCTGTAATGAACATACGTGTGCACATATCTTTATAATAGAATGGTTTATATTCCTTTGCGTATATGCCCAGTAATGGAATTGCTGGGTCAAAAGGTATTTCTGGTTCTAGATCTTTGAGGAATTGCCACACCATCTTCCACAATGGCTGGACTAATTTACATTCCCATCAACAGTGTAAAAGCGTTCCTATTTCTCTGCAACTTCGCCAGCACCTGTTGTTTCTTGATTTTTTAATAATCGCCATTCTGACTTGCATGAGATGGTATTTGATTGTGGTTTTGATTTGCATTTCTCTAATGATCAGTGATGTTGAGGGGTTTTTTCCCCATGTTTTTTGGCTGCATGAATGTCTTTTTTTAGCTAAGAAACAGATTGAATGTGTCCCAAACCAAATGATACAAAGTTTCATGAAATAATTACCCTTCCTACATGAAATGCATCCTAGTATTTTCTGTTTTATTCTATTTCATGCTTGTTATCACTCCCAAAATTAATGTCATTGCCCACTAGTGGACTGTGTCTTGGAGTTTGAAAAACTGTGCAGAAGGCCTGGTTTTGTATAGCTAACACACATCAGTGAAAACAGAATGGAAAATGTTGAAGCTTATGCCTTAAAAATGCTGAACACAGCTGAGATGAACTTCTCTCAAAATGACAAGAAGAACATTTCTGTTTACTTTCAGGACAGACTTGGCTCACCTCTGAACCCCTGTCCTTTTGGCTAATTCCCATACATCTTCCATCCCCACCTGTGATACCTTGTCCTCTGGAAGCCTTTCCTGAACCTCTGAATCAGGACTTGGTTCCCTTCTACATGTTCTCGAAGCACCCAAGAAATCATCTACATATAGTGCTTAGCACAGCAAATGGCCCATAGTGACCAGTCAATGTTAGAATATATTGCCATAGTTTGTTTACTTTTCGATTTTTCCAATAGATTGTACACTCATAAGGAATTCTCGCCCACAGGGGAAAAAGTTTCAGGATGACAATGATTCTGCTTGTGCAGATATTTAAATCACCAGATTGAGATTTTTTTCTTTTAACGCTTAGCACCCAGTCTTTTAGGTGTTACAAGGTTAAAAAAAGAAAAACCCAAAAGGTGTGTTCTTGGCATCAGCTAACACTCCAGTTAAAGGCGAAAGGAGCTAGGCCAGGTGTGGTGGCTCATGTCTTTAATCTCAGCACTCTGGGAGGCCAAGGTGGGCAGATCACTTGAGCCCAGGAGTTAGAGAATAGCCTGGACAACATGACAAAACACCCATCTCTACAAAGTGCACAAACTAGCCAGGGCATGGAGGCATGCAACTGTGGTCCCAGCTACTGAGGAGGCTGAGGCCAGAGGATCCCTTGAGCCTCAGAGGTGGAGGCTGCCATGAGCTGAGATTGTGCCACTGCACTCCAGCCTGGGCGACAGAGCAATACCCCATTAAAAAAAATGCAAAGAGTTAAAGAGCAGACCTCTGACTGTCTTGTCCTCTTTCCCTCCTAGTTGTTCATGAATTAAGTACCCAGTGAGGAGACAGCTGTCAAGGTATAGGTGAGCTTCCAGTGCAAGCCGAGTGCTGTGAGTTCATGGGCAGGTAAAACTCTCTGAAATGCTGAAGAGAACCTGAATGGCACTTGTATCCATTGGTAGAGAAACCTTTTAAAGGGTTCCTCCTGTTCTTAGAAAAGGATTAAACTCCTTCATATGACTTAAAGGTAGGGCAACTCTACAGGGCAGTTTGCCCAGGACAATCTGGGTTTGTACCTGTTACCCAAGCTTAGTGATTAATAACATGCTCTTTCACTCTATGAACAGTCCCCATCTGGAGGATAATGCATATGGTTCACCTGCTTACAGGCCCGGTATGATCTGGCACAGCTGACCCCTCCAGCTCCAACCCGCAACAGCCCACACACCGGCACATGCTCCTTTCTCACAGCATCACTGCTATCAGAGATCACAATTTTCTTCACTCCAAGAAGTTCACTGGTTAAGGTCATATGGCAAATTAGGATGAGGAGAAGAGGTTTAAATGGAAGCTGCGATGCTTACCCTGCTCATTTCCACTCACCTGCAAGGCTTAGACTCGACTGCACTGGGATTCCAGGCTCAAATGCTACAGGGCCATTCTACAAACACTGTTCCTACCTCCCAGAACCCCCTGTCTGGCTCACTGCCACTTCCCCTTCAGGTCTCAGCTGAGCCATCACTGATAGCTCTGGGACACCCCAAATCTAGCTGCACACATAACACCGTGTGCGTCCCCTAGTGAAACATTTACACCATCTTTCTGCACATATTTATTCAGAACTTGGTATGTGCCAGGCCCTGTTAGAGTGGCTGGGGACACATCTAGGTACAAAATGCCAGCCCTCATGGAATTTCATGCTAGAGGAAAAAAGAGATGGAAAGGAAACTAAAAATTTAAAGTAGAGTTGCATGACATTATAAACGGATATATAATAGTACAAATATCTCATGAATTCATCACAATTCATTATAATTTCCTATTTGCCTGACCACATCTCCCTGCGGGTTTTGTAGCACGGTGTGTGATCGGAGGCTCACAACAAAGGCCTGGTGAATTCATCAATAGCAGTTTCCCTTTCCATTCTCTCCATTGTCCTGGGAACTTGTCCTGCTCTGATAACATACAAAAGATAATTGTATCTGTAACTAACCTTCTAAAAAGTATCTGTCCCTCACATTCAGGATTATTAACACTGATGCCATGTTCACTTTATTCTCAATAACTACTCATTTCTGAATCATAAGGTTCCTCACGGAGGTGGAGATAACCATACCTACAGAGACATCTTGTTTATGTTTTAGGGACTGTCCTTTCCATGGCTTCCCTAGTCCCTTAGGTGCTGTGTAAGTTGTATTTCCTCCACTAATTCTTCACTGGAAAAATGTGTATATGCTCAAGCTGGGATAGGAAATAAACAATGAACTCAGGAGTAGCATCCGCCGAGATCCCTGCCATTGGACATTCGATGATTGGGTAAAAAGTTAACTCATCAGCACCTTACACCTATTAGAAAGGCTACTATAAAAAAAAGATTTTTTAAAAAGGCCAGGTGCAGTGGCTCATGCCCATAATCCCAGCACTTTGGGAGGCCAAGGTGGGTGGATCACGAGGTCAAGAGATCGAGACCATCCTGGCCAACATGGTGAAACCCCATCTCTACTAAAAATACAAAAATTAGCTGGGTGTGGTGGCGTGCACCTGTAGTCCCAGCTACTCAGGAGGCTGAGGCAGGAGAATTGCTTGAACCTGGGAGGCGGAACCAGTGAGCTGAGATCATGCCACTGCACTCCAGCCTGGTGACAGAGTGAGACTCCGTCTCAAAAAAAACAAAAAAAGACAGCATTGCTGAGAATGTGGAATATTTGGGACCCTTTCTACATTGGTGGGAAGGTAAAATGGTCCAGCCACTGTGGAAAACAGTATGACAGTTCCTCAAAAAATTAAACATAGAATTACCCTATGACTCCACAATTCTACTTCTGGGTATATACAGACCAAAGAATTGAAAGCAGGATCTCAAACAGATATTTGCACGTTCCTCTTCATGGCAGCATTATTCACGATAGTCAAAAGTTAGAAGCAACCATCAACAGATGCAAGGATAAGCAAAATGTGGTATATCCATAAATGGAATACTATTCAGACTTAAAAAGGAAGGAAGTCCTGTCCAATGCTGTCACATGGATACAGCTTGAGGCTAAGTGAAATAAGACAGTTACAGAAGGATGGATACGGTATTCCGCTTATGTGAGGTCCCTAGAACAGTCAAAATCTTAGAGACAGGAAGTAGAAGGGTGGCTGCCAGGGCCTGAGGGGAGAGAGGGATGAGGAACTAGTGTTCCATAGGGACAGAGTTTCAGTTTTATGGATGATGGCAATGGTCACCCAACAATGTGAATATACGTAATGTC